ATTTTCTGTATAATAAATTCAAATTAGTCTTATAGATCAAATTGAAAATGCAATTGATTCAGTTCAAATCAAAATAAATCAAAAGCTCAAAAATGTCTTATCATTTGAAACATTATTATGGTATTATACCAAACTGATAAGACCATTTAACAGCAGACAGTCTTAATTTTAACACCATTTTTTTAAAAAAAAAGAAAATGTTTCATTCATCTTATGCTTGTCTCTCAAAACTGATAAGAATAATGAAATTCCGCCTATCATTAAAATGTCTTATCTGATATTTATGAAGCACTGCATAAGTACCGTATAACTATAAACTTAGTGATTAACTATATTACAAAAAAAAGTGTAAAAATGTAAAAAGTACACTGAGAAAGTATTGAAATTTCAAATTTGCACAACATTTTAAACTTTATCATTTTCCAGTCATTAATTTTAAACTTTATCACTTCCCAGTCATTAATTTTAAACTTTACTATCTTCTAGTCATCAGTTGACATCACTGATCATTTCTACTTACTATTTAGCTTTAAGTTCGAAATGCTTTTTTTTTTTCTAGCGGAAAAGTTGAAAGTTTATCAATGATAATTTTTTAATTAATTGACAAATGATCTAAACAGGTGGTCATTTCTAGTGGTATCAATAGCTTAGTGTAAATTTGTTAATAATAATTAAAGAATGTAACACAGTGAAATTTTCATATTGAAAAATTGTCTTACTGAATAAGTCTAATTGTCTGTCACTAATTGTCAATTTCAGTTTTTTTTTTTTTTTTTAAAAAAAGGAAGATTTCTGTTTCAACCATTTTGTCTTGACCTAAACAATTGCCGCGACATTTTATTTATTTATTTTTTTGAAATGAAAATCACTGATTTCAAGAACTACCGAATAATTCATTTTTCTCAAGAATTTTAAGTAATTAAATTTACCGATTTAGGATAGTTAGATGAAAAATAGATTTAGCTAATTCTCAGTTTTTATTTTGTTTTGTTTCTGTTTTTTTTTTTTTTTTTTTTTTTGTAATTTTAATAATATTAAAAATGGATAGAGCATTCATCGAGAATAATCAAAATGAAATATTATTTAAATAATTAAATGGAATGAACTGTCATCCTGTCAATATTTTTGTAAAAAATTATTAGATTACTTTTTTTTTTTTTTGTTTTAAATTCTATTTATCATCTACTAATAACATTTTGTATGATTAAATTAGCTGTAAAACTGTAATGTATCAAATAAATTTATTGAATTGATCATTAATTTCTTTTTTTTTTCAAATATTCCATAGCAAAATGATTGTTAAAATTTGATCAAATAATTTGAAATTAAAAATACATCCCATTGTTTTATATGCCTAATGAAAAAAAAAATACGAAATTTTTTTTTTCAGTAGATTTTAAAATTAATAAACTTTTATTATATCAAAATTTGAAATCTTGAAATAAAATGAAAATTCTGAATATTTAAAATTTTATGAATTTCTTATTCATTTCTCCTAGAAATGAAGAAAATGCTATGGCTTTTACTACTAACAGTATTATTTGAATTTGGATCAATGAGCAATCATTCACCAACAATTCAAATGAGAATTACAAATTTGGGTTTAGAATTTATCAGTGAATTTATCACTAAAATTGTTAGCAGTTATCTTTTTTTTTTTTTAATTTTTTAACAAGTAAAATTTGCAAAAATAAAAAATTACTTTATTTTAAATATTTAACAATGCTTTATCATCCATATAAAATTTTAAAACATTCGTCTTTGCTTTTTTTTTTATGATAGATTAAAATTCAACAAAAGATTCATTTACATTTTTTTTTTTAATTATTTAAAATTATTAGTTAAAAATTTGTAGCTCAACCAACAATGCAATTTTATGATACCATTTATGGACTTATCAGATCCATCATTACAAATAAATATCACAAATGCAACTATTAGCGAATTTATTTCACCAAATATAAAATTGAAACCAAAATCACCGCATGGTATTGTCATTAAAGCTACCAATGGTTCATTGAAATCACATTCATTTTTTACAACATTTCTTCCACTTATCTTCCAAACGGTAATAATTAAATTTAATTTGCATTGAATTTAAATTTATATTTAATTTAAATTTATATTAAAATACAAACATATATTAATGAAATTATTTTCGCACAGGTAACAGTAACCGGTGAAGCAGATGTTAATGCATCAAATTTTATTGTAAAATTAGAAATGGATGTACTCACAAGAAATCTTCATCCATTAATTAAATTACGAAAATGTGCAATGAATATTAGAAATATCAGTGTTGTTTATCATACAAACAGTAATTTATTAAATATTTTATCAACGATGAAAAATTTAATGTCACAAATTATTGTACGAAAGATAAGCACTGAGGTAAGTGAAGAGAGACAGAGAAAAAAAAAGCGCTTATGGCGCTAATGTATTATTAGTAAAATGAAAAAAAAAAAAAAAATTTTACTGTTAATTTGAAATATATGAAATTTGTTAAAATGAACAAAAAAAAAATTTTACTGTTAATTTGAAATATATGAAATTTGATAAATATATTCAAATCAATATTAAATTAATATTTTTTTAATATTATTAACAATGAATGATAGCTAATATTTATTATAAATAAAAGTTTCTTCGTTTTCTTCTCTCTTTTTTTTCTCCTTCATTTCAAAAATTTACAAAAATTTTTACATTTAGTTCTGCAAAAGAATGAATCAAACAATGATTGCAAATGTAAATGATATGATAGTACGCATTCCTCAATACTCAAAACTTCTCGGGAATTTGTATACTAATTATGAATTTCAGGTATGATAAAAAAGTTAAAATTTCAATCAATTTCATTTTTTTTCTTTTTGAAATTTCATGTTAATATAATAAATTAGCTATTGAAATTTTTTCCTATTCAATACTAAATAATAAGAAATTGCATTTTCATTTTTCTAAAAAAAAAAAAGAATTATTACAGGAAGATATGATTGCCGAAGAGAATTATCTTCAAGCTAATGCTTTTTGGCAGATAATAGCATTTCAACCTTCATTATCTATTAATAAAAGTTTAATTAAAATTAATACCACTATACAATCATCATCTAATGGTAATTTAGGATTAATTAATAAAAATTTAATTTTCTTTTAAAACATTTTTAAAAATGTTAAAATCATTTAATGATAATATTTTTATATGTTTATCTAATCATTGTTAATTGTTTACAGCTTTCTATAATATCTCTGAAAATAAACATATGTTTTATATTTGGTTATCGGATAATATTGCAAATAAATTATTTAATACATTATTTGAAAATGAATATTTAATACTTTCAATAGATCATAATTTCCATTCTGGAATATTTGCAAAATTTTTGAGAACAAAGTAAGTTAATTTTTACTGGAATACACAAAATTGAATAATCATATTATTAATGCTAAATTAACCAAAAAGAAATATTTGATTTTTGAGTAACAGTTATGAATTATTGAATAAGTTAAAATTTAAAACTCTTTTCAATTATTATTAAATTAATTAACAATTTTTTTAATTTAATAATAATTATACATTGAAAAGAATGAAATGATAATTTTTTAATTTTTAGCTTTCATAGCATAGCTTAATCAAATTTATATTAGAATTGTTATGTTTACTTTTTTAATTTTAACCAATCTTTTTTTTTTAAATTACTGAAATATTATTATGATTGGATGAATGAGTAAATTTCTATTTTCATTTTTTTTTTTTTTTTGCAATTAATTATCAAAGTTTATTAATTGTTTGGTGATGATACAATTTATTAGACATGCATACAAATCAGAAAATGTCCAAATATGATAATTATTAAAATTACTCTAAAAAGTACTAAAGTAATTCTAATTACTAGAGTAAAATTGATATTAAAGTAATTCGAAAGTAATTTGTTATTTTTTCTTTTTCTTTTTTGGTTAGCTGAAAATTTTGAGCTAAATATTTATCAACTAATCCTGCTAATTACTAAATTCTAATTTAAAATTAATCTAAATTATTTTTTATAGTTGTTTATTTTATGAATTATGCATTGGTCATTTATTTCCAATATTTGCAACAAAATTTCCTAATCAAACAGCAACGATACGTTTACATGCAATTAAACCACCTGTTTATTCTACAACTCCTAATGGTATTACAGTAAATGCTATATTATTATTCGAATTATTCATTCCAAATTTTGAAAATGAAATTAATGGATTTGCTCAGTTCAGTAAGTTTCAATTTTTTATTTATTAAAGTAATTTTAAAGTAATTCTATTTGTCCTTTCTTTCTTTTTTTTTTCTTTCTCTTTGATTAGTTAAATTAAAATTAGTTAAATAAGAATTGAAGAAATGATCGATATAACTTTCAGCAACAATGACCAGTTATACCATTGTACCATCATTTCATGATCAAATATTATTATTTCAAATTGTTGATGCAAATGTTTCAATAATTCAATTTAATGCAAATATAGGACAACTACCAACTTTGTAAGTGTATTAAATGTAATAAATTTAAATTTAAATATATTAATTAAAAAATATGCCACAAATGGTAATAATAAAAGTTTTTTTTTTTTCAGAATGTTTAATATACTTATGAAAACAATAAAAGTAATTAATTCTTGGATTGGTACCATAGTACCAAAAATTGGTATCACTTTACCTATTATTGGTGGATATGCAATTGAACAATCAGCTTCAATTGATTTACTCAATGATACAATGCTTATCAATTTGAATTTTGTGAAAAAATCTAATCAGACTTTTTCTTTCAATGAAATAATTTACAGTGATTTATATCCAACATTTATATATTAAAAAGTTAATAATTTCTCTTTCGTTTTTTTTTTTTTTTTTGGAGTAATTAATTAAAGAAATGTAATAAAATGCTAATGCAAGAATTTCATTTTATGCTTCTTGTTAAGCAGTGTTAAATTCAAATGAAATAAATGCCAATAAATTGCATCCAAATATGCTATCACATATAATCATCGTTTCCTTTCAAAATCTGCAATAACATCAAATTTTCAATTTTTTTTTTTTTTTTTTTAAAAAAAAATATATATAATTGATTATTTAATTACCATACAAATATGCTGACTTAAACAGTAATAATTATAAAAGTAATATTTGTGTCAAACTCTTCTCTTCAATTTATTTCTTTCTTTTGCTCTACCATATGTCTTATTTTTTGTCATATTATTAAATCAAATAATAATTCATTAACTTAGATCAATGATTATTCCTTACTTACATTTATAGCATACATAAATTTTCTTTCATTTTTAATCAAATTACATTGCTTTGCATAACATAAAACAGTTTGTAGTACTAAACGATAATCTGTCAAAAATCGCAGAACACCGTAACGACATTTGCGCACCGCTATAGCTGCATTCAATACTGACATACGATGTGTCTCCGTGATCTGATTTAAAAAAAAATAAATAAAATATGTTATAATCTATAAAATAAAATATAATGAATGTGAATTTAAATGTAATGTGGAAGAATATGATATAAATTTATAAAAATAAAAAAAAAAAAAAAAGATATATAAAGTGATATAAATTTACTCGATGAGCATACCTGTCTCATTAGCAATGAGGTAATTACAAAAATACCACTCCTTCGAATACCATAACTACCATGAACAACAATTGGTTTTCTTCTTTTTTCATTTATTACTTCCATAACAGTAATCATTTTAATTAATAGCACTGATGATATTGCTTTTTCATCTGTCCATTCATCATATCGCATAATATGAATGCATCGTTTATTTGCTAAATTAAAATAATATGCAAATTAGTTTAAATAAATTTACTACATCATAGAATTTTACGATTAATTAAATGAAAGAAATGAGTATAAATTGTAGAATGATCGTAGAATTTGCAAATGATCACAAAACTATATCATTCATTTCAATTTTAAATTTTCAAAAATTAATTAAAAATATTATAATAGTATCTATGATTAGTGAAGTAAAATATTTTTAACTTTATTGTATAGGTAAATAAATAATTTATGTTTTAACAAATATTTACAATCAACAACATTATTTGTTTCTAAGTTTTTGATCTATGAAAGAATAATGCTTTTCGAAGTGGTAAAATTGAAATTATTATTGTAGCATGAAATCCTATCACTTACTACCATTTCTACTTTCCATATTTGTAAGCACGGCTTCATAAACAAATAAATTTGCCACAGGTGTATCGATAATTTCTCGAGTCTCAAGAGAAAATCTTTCCCTTACCTGGAATAATAATTATTTACAGTGAATCAATCAATCAATCATTTGGTGCATCATCGTTTTAAATGTAAAATTAAATTATTTTTTATATTATTTTGATGAGGAAATGAGTCATTGAAAATGACCTTAACTAATTGTTGTTTTTTAAAACTGAAATATGGATAACAAGTCATTGGATCAGTAAGTGGATCCAAACAAATCACTAGTCGCACATGACATTGCCATAGCATCCGAAAGAAATCAATCAGTGATTGTTTTGTTGGACCCTGCAAAAATCATTCATCTAATATCATTTCCGGAAATGTAATAAAGAATAAAATCGGAAAAGTAATAAAGAATTATAATATATTAAGAATACTAATCAGCTAAGTATGATTGGAATTTTTCTCTTGGTGATAATTCAATGAAAGATTAGAATGGAAAGTTTTATTTGATTTAGAAGTGATTAATCTGCAATGATTCATTTGAAGTTTAGAATGAGAAAATTTTTAGTTTAACAAGAAAGATGATAATATTTTAATTCTTAGCAAAAATTTCAAATAATTTTGTTTTTCATGCTTAACTTTTATAAGAAAATAACTGAGACGGAAGTAATGAATCATTATGCAATGAAAATATTAATTATTTTAGAGTAGTAATACAAATCACTATGTATTATAGTGATTTAGCAAAAACATAGGTAGCTTAAAAAATAAGAATGGAAAGAATTAGGAAAAACAAAAATAGAGCTTAATTAAAAAATTCATTATATTTTCTAGTCAAATCATAAACATCTTTACTAATATATCATCAATATTTGTATTTGATATATAACTAATTTTAACGCTTCGTGCTTTATTATTTATTCAATTCATCTCACCGAAATTATTTATTATTATTATATTATATTGTTATTATTTTATTATTATTATTACTATATTATTGTTATTATTATTACTATTATTATTATTATTATTACTATTATTATTATTATTATTATTATTATTATTATTATTATTATTATATTATTATTATTATTATTATTATTATTATTATTATTATTATTATTATTATTATTATTATTATCAATTATTGTCCGGAAATCTTTGTTGAAACTTTTTTATTGAAACTTTTGGAAAACTTTGTTGAAACAACTGAAACAGAATTTACTTGTGCGATGATAAAATTGCCATACGGAATATTAATTTGTGATGCATGAATATATCGTGAATCATTTGTTAATGTTGGTAGCAAATGTACAGCACCTTCATTAAAGTTAACTACAGTCGGTGATCGATTCTTTCCGTCATTCTTAAAATTAAAATTAAACTAAAAAAGAAGTTACTGTTTTATTTTGAATTAATCACAATTATAGTATTATTAAAATAATAAAGTAATCAATCATTTTAACTCTATAAAGAATATCCTATTCATTTCTTTTAAAGTTAACATGAAGATTTGAAGAGATTTTTTTCCCAATTATCAGACCATACTATATGTTATTTAAATTGTTAATATATGTTTTAATAATGAATTTGAATTTGAATTGAATTAAGCTCTGCCAAGAAAAACGAAATTTGCACATGAAATATTAATTATTTTTATAAAATAAAAACGAAATTATTTAATTATGCTTTTTTTTTTAAATGGAGTAAACAAAACATGAAGAAACTATTACTATACCATTTCTTCACTTTGGCAAAAATTAGAAATATGTTGTTGTTGTTTCCATAAAAATTTATGTTCAAATTTCATTGCTCTTTCTAGATCTTTCTTTGAGAAAATATAATTGCATGTGAAATCCATCACATTTTCACCTTTTACTAATTTTTGAGCACTTAATGCATCCTTTGCAATATTTCTATCTAAAGTGAAGAAACTTTCCCAATTTAATTAATTTCTTCCTCTTCTTCTTCATTTAGAACTATTTAAATGTTCTGAAGAAAGAATTGAGATTTACATAAACTTTTCAAGATTTAATTTAGATTATTAGTTCTCTAAATTTGCAAATAATTAAGAAACTTATGGAAATAATTATGATTAATGGCTGAAGAATCATTGAAATAAATTCAATAAAATTTCGAATGGCTTAAGTAAGCGATCACTAGCGGTATTTGCTATTGATGAAATGATCAAAAACAAAAACAAAAAAGCAAAAAGATATATTTTTCTCTTTGTTTTTGGGTAAATAATAATAATTAGATAAATAAACAATCACCCATCCGACTGAAAACAAATGAAGCAAATTAAACTTACCAGCCATTTCTGTTGGCATTCCCTGAGCTGAATCTATTTCGCTTTCCTAAAATGATAATTTCCCTTGTTAAATTTGAACAATTTCAAATTGAAGCATCTAAATTTATTCTGCTACCTTAAAGTTATTTACTAGCAGTAAAACTTTCAAAATTATTTTAAAAAATTGTCTATGCGTTATTACTCTGATAATGATTAATTTTCTTATTCGAAAAATAATAATAAATAAGTCTAAATACATATCAAATATCAAAAATATATCCAAAACAGAAATGCTGGATATTGAAAACGGAAAATTATGAGTCAAGATTACTCTAATCACTTGAATCGCAACTGTAAAATTAAGGTTTTCGGTCTTTTGAGTATCCAATCAACAAGCAATTTCCAAAATGTAAATGACCTGATATTTCCATCGGTACCTAATATTTCAGTTTTTATGTTCAATCTTCAAAATTATTCTATTATCCTAGTTAATTGGTCCATTTTATTGAGACAAGCTTTACCTTCGATTCATCATCAACAGTTCGACTATCTCTGGATAGCTCTTCTGTTTGAGATTGTGATTGTATCAATGGAAGATTAAAATCTTTTACTCCAAAAGTTTTTGGTTCCTCTAAGTTTATGAGACTTTCCGTTACACCATCCAATAGTTCATTGTAGTAAAAAGGACGCTATAAAAAACTTTGTATAGCCTTTTTCTTTTTTTGCTTTAAATGCTATATCAATTTTATGAAATTCAAGTGATACTCAAAATTTTCCATTAAAACATTCAAATTCGGTAATTGCTTGAAATTTTTAGAGATAAAAGATGAATGCGAAAAGATAAAACTATTAGTATAAACATACCGGTGTTTTTTGTCTAATTGGCGTTGTCAGTTTCATCTCTCTTAGATTTGGCGGAATTGTCCTACTATAGGGATATGATCTCTAAGAATGATATATATTTTGCTTTAACATATCAAAAACAAAAAAAAAAAAAAAAACATATCAAATCAGCTTAATGTATATTTATAAATGATAATACATGTAATACGAAAATAGCAATAACTCTTTGATAATTTTCTAGCATTTACTAATTTTGATTATATTGACATCGGTATATATCAGCGTACATGATCAGCTTTAAATTTGAAATATTGAATTCTTAAGCTAACTTCAGAAAGACTTGATTTAAGCTTTAGTCTTAATGTACAAACAGAATTTTAGCGTTATTTACTGATATGCTTACTTTTGCAAATAGTCGAAAATGAAACTAAAGAAAGTTTCTTTTTTTAACCTGTGATGAATCGTCGTTCGTACTTCGAAGACTTTCTGGAATTCCATCCAACAAATCATTGTAATAGTAAGGTCTCTAAAAGGAATCCATCATTTTCTTTTCTTTTTTTTTTTTATTTCTTTTTGCAGAATTAATGAAGTTGTTTACAGGAGATCATTTATTTCCGACTTCCGATTTACTATTCCGTACTACCACTTCAATCCCTGTTTTATGCCTTTTGTTCGAAGTGAACTACGCTTGGAATTATTAATAAAAGTTCTACCGGTTTTCGTTTTGATGCTTTTTTCTTTGTCTGAATTACTTCGCTCACAGTGTGCTCTTTCTAAAAAAGAAAAGTGTAAACTGTAATTTGTGTCTCTGCGACAATTGTTTAAATTTCAATTGTCAACTGAAATGTCTGATAGTGTCAACTGTCTGATATATTTAATTTGAATATAACCTTTTTGTCGAATTTAATTGATTCATCTTCTATTCCTTCTGTACTTCCTAAGCTTCTTGAGCTAATAATATACTTAGATTCCTTTGGTTCGCTTTTCGTGTGTCCATTTTGACTTTCCTTTGTGTATTCCTTAAAGTTTGAAATCTCTTTTGAAAAATCTCTTGAGCCAGAAATCTTTCGAATTGCTTCTCTGAAGCCAAGATTTCCTGTCATATGCTCTTCGGAAAAAGAACTGGATTCTTTGGAATCGAGGTGCTTCTCAGAAATCTCAGCTATTTTTTGATCTATTTGTTTCCCAATTTTTTCACCCGATTTTCCGATTGTTTTTTTACGCGAACCATTCTTAACTTTCTTTTTTGGTAAATCTAAATTAATCTCTTCATGACTTGATGATTCTTCGTTCCGTAAATTAGACAATATTCCATTTGTTTTCCACTAAAATGACCAGAATAAACACGAAATAAAAGTATGGATTTATTTCAAACAGTTAATTTGCACATCATTTTAAATAATTTCAAAATCAAAATCAAAAAAAAAGAAAAAATAACTGAACAGAGCAATCGCTCAATGAATTTAAATGAAAATTTGCAATGTGAAAAAGTCTCAAATTAAAACAAAGTAATCGATCAAATGATCACATCCAGAACACACCTTACTCATTAGCTTCATCTTTTCCATTGAACTTATTAATCGTTTATTTTTCTCCATTTTAATTCAAAATGATCAATTAAAGAACCGACCGTTCTCAAACACTTCAATTGAACAGAAAAAATTTTGTCAATAATCTTATCACTTTTATTTGCAACTATTATGGAAAGGTAAAATGAATGAAATGATAAGTGGAAAATGAAGAAAAAACAATTAAATTGTTTAACTGTCATAAATTTTCTTATCGTTCAAAAAAAAAAAAAAAAAACTTCTACACTTTTTCACAATCATTTTAACTTAAAAATTTTCAACCACACATACTTATTATTCAAATTTTTTTGTCAAATAATCAATCAATAAATTATTTAATCTTATTATTATTGATAGATTTTTTTCTTTTTGATGATCTTTTACAATAGCTATTAAAATTAAAAATAAGCATTCAAAAATTCATTTCATCGCATTTTTTTAATTTTCAAGAAATTATTTAATGAATTATATAATTTCAAGAAATTCTTTAATGAATTATATAAGTTTAGGTTGTTTGCAATCATTTCCTGAATAAACCTCTAACTTACCGATAAACAAAAGATACCGAACAACCGGATAGCAGCACATCTCCCTTTACCGGAAACATTCAACTAACCAATTTGGACGAGTGATATTTCACTTTTGGACGAGCAATAATAGATGTGCTGAATCTATTCAGGTACTATGATCCGGATTATTTCTTGCTCTTTTGTTAATCCGGTTGATTAGGATAGTTTGTTTGTTTCTTTTCCGTATTCATTTATTTTCGCTGTACGGGAATTTCAGATAAGTGTAATTCATAACGTTGATTAATTGATTATATAATATAATGAATAAAATATAAGTTTTGTTCAGAAGAAGGAATGGAATGATGATAATGATTCAGATGGAAATTTGCATATCTTTTACTTAGTTAAAAAATATAAGTTATTTAGGGTAATTAATTTACAAATTTATAAAGGTGGATAGTTTTTTTATTAGATAAATATTTGAATAAAATGAAGCTGTAAAATAAACATGCCTAGGATCGATAATATTTGTAGTATGTTTAATCTTTCTTCCGACCATTTATTCATTCAAGTTGTTCCTTTTTTTTTTACATGAAAAAGAAAATCAAGACAATATGCATTTGATTATGGATTCGTTTTTAGATGAAAATTTTTCAATTGCGATAAATTTATTGAATTATATTTTGAAAATTGTTTAAAGTCGTAATGTTCCTAACTGATCGAATGAGCTTAACTATAGATTTATTATGTTTGTTGATGTTTATGAATTGTTTGGTCAGTTCAGTTTAGCTAAATTCAAAATTTACTCTTGCAGAAATCATTTGACCTTATTTCCGTATACACAAACAGACAACTCATCAGTGGAATAGTTTGAAGACTTTCTATTTCTGAATTGGAATGAAAGGAAGTTCATTTGCAGAATAACTATCACTTGAATTATTCACTACTAATTTCAGGTTATCTAATTTTAATTCTCTCATATTCCCTTTCTCAAATTTTGGACATGTAATGTTCAAAGAAGGATTTTTATCATCTGAACAATTGATTATCGTTTAATACTCATGAATATAACATTTAATTCATATACTTGTTGTTATACTGTTGTTCCATATACTCATCTATCTGTTATTTTAATTGACCACTTTCCCTTTTAGATTTGTTATTTCAATAACTTACACAAAACGATAAATCTTCACTGATAATTTAGCCATTAGATATTAACTTACAGCTACTGGAGGTAAGATATGTCGAGCGAGAAAAGTGGTGATAAAAATTTATGTGTAACGAATAACACTTTGGGTGGCCAACGTAAAGTGAAAGACAAAAAGGTAGTTGATGACGAGAAAAATAATAATGAAACCACTGAAGGGGCTAGTTTTTTTTTTCTTTTCTTCCTTTATCTATTTCAAAATGGTTTCATTGTGTATCTAGTACTTTCATGGGTTTTAAATTGCAGTAATAATAAATACTTTTAGAGTTAGTAGGAATAAATGAATTTGATCTATTTGAGCTATTATAATGATTTTCTCTTTTACTAATAATCCTTTTTCAGAAAATAAAGCGCTTCAATAAAATATAATAAAATTGAGTTCCTAATAGAATTACAATTATAAATATTTCAAGTATTTAGGCTAGAAAAAAAAAAAAAAACCAAAGAGAACGGTGACTAACAAAAGTAGGGAGAGGAAGGGAGAGAGAGAGTGGGAAAGACAAAGAAATAGGAAGTGGTTTTCTCATAAAAAATGATTGATGAGATTCATCAATCAGTGCTGATCAGTTAAGGAAGGAAGGTCGAGTTGAAGGCGGAAAACCCTTAAATAAGATAAAATTAAAGCTTTGCCATTCTTTCTTTCCATACTTCCATTTCAGCTCTTTTTCTTTTAATTCACTTTGTCAGCCTTTTCATATGAAATGGATTAATGTTGGAAAATTACTTCAATATTGCACATAATAAATGATTATGAGGTGAAAGAATTATCTAACTACTTTTTGTAAGGTTAAATTCTGCATGCGGAACTTTTGTTTTTCCGAAGTTAAAAGTAATGATTTAAGAAAAAAAAACTTTCAGATGGGTAAGATGCACACGAACGATTCATCTGCCTCAGCGATGTTACAAAGTTTGGCTGACGACGATTTCCGTAATCTTTTGAATACTGCAGCAAAACCGCAATATGGTAGCCTTCAAAGAAAAAGAAAGGTTTGATTGTCAATTTGAAACTTATCAGTTCTGAATCAGTTTACTTTTGTAGTACCTCTTGAGATTATGTTACGAGGAAGACATTTATGGTGGTATAAATTTGATGTTCTTCTATAAATATAATCTTACTTGTTACCTTATTTACTAATTTTCGCATATAACATTTTGTTTATCGTCTTCAGAATTTCTTTAAGTCCCACAAATTTGCCAAAAATATTATTGGCACTGAAATGCTAAGCATATTACATATATAGCATTTGTTACTTCCAAAAATATTTACTAACAAATATGAAACGAATATGAGAATTAAGGTTTGTGTTTAAAATTTAAGAACTATATACAATTTGAGTTCAGCTTCTCTAACATCGATAGGACATAGCCATTTCAGAAATCTCAAAAAACAGCGGAATACGGTGGTCGTCGCCTGAGTGATGCAGGTGAAAATACTGGCTTATCAGCAGAAGCGGACAATTTACTCGCACAATTTCGACGTGAAGCAGAACTAAATCAGCGAAACGCGGATATTGGTTAGTTTTCATTGTTTACAGAAAGAAAGAATTGAGTGAAGAGATGGTGAGAAATCCAAGATAACTATCTTAACAGTTTAAATGGATAAACATTCATGATAGAAAAATAGCAAGGAATGAATAAGACATAGATATATAAGGAGATCATGCTTTAAAGTATATTTTCTTAATATTCTTAACTCAAAATATTGACAGTAGGTATTCTATTTTGGCATTTATAGTTGAATTACACTGTTATGAATTTATGAATTAGAATAGAATCGTTGGATTAGAAATTTTGTTATCAAAAGACGATATACGATAAGTGAGGTGAACAGATAATGTGATGCATATTTATTGTAATCTCTTACTGATATTGGCAAAATTCACTAAAGTTAAAAATTAAGATTCCCTAAAATTGCGATTGGATATTGTAAGTTGAAATTAAATCTGATATTACAAGGCAAAATTATATTATGATCTTATGCTGTAATGTCACAATCACTTTTTTATTCCTATTTAATACCTTTTTTTTTTTTTTTTTAATGGAAAAGCTCACGAATAATTTCATAACAGTGGTAATTACCAGTCTTATTTCAAATAAGTTCAAATTACGGTGGGATGAGTCATACTTTTGTCGCTATACTTTACCTTAGTTTGCAAAGAATGCTGGTTAACATTTTTGTAGAAAAAAGTTGTTCAGTTTGGTTATCTTAAGTTTACACATATAAGTTTTAAATGACTTCCAGGATATTAAGCAATTAAACGATTAGATTGTTGTGATGGATAAATGCATTTGCATAAATAAAAAGGAAAAAAAAAAACAGTAGTAAGGAGAACATTTCAAAAAAAATAAATCAGAATGGAATTATAATATGTAGTATGTTTCACAAATCAAAACTAATAGCAAGTTTACTATAAATATATACATCCTGTTCTTTCCGTTTGCGTCTTTTTTACGGCCTGAAATTCACTGGTTTAATTTTTTTTTTTTTTTACAATAGTTTTTCTTATTTGTATAACATCTTAAAAAATAATGCGGATTAAGACATAATGAGCATATAGATATTGAAAATATTTAATGCTCTAGTAATATCTGTTATACTTAAAAAATCAGAAACACATACCGAAAGGTCTCTGAGGTGGTAAAATAGCAGGTTTTTCGAATGCTTTACCTAAGCCTGAAAATGGAATTCCACATCATATTTGATCGAAATTACAAGAAAGTTTATTGCAATCAATACCACATAAGAAACCATTTGATTTCTATTTATCTATTATTGTTCGTACAAATTTGAACATATAAACTAAGATCCATTATTATACTAGCATATATAGTATTGATTTTCTTATTCTCGAATATTCTTTAAAATGCATCAGAAATGAGTGTTTGCTTATTCAATTAAAATTGAAATACGAAAGAACTGAACAATTTAGATTCTATTTACTAGCATTTTATACGCTGGTTGGAAGAATTTTTAATTCCTGATGAGATTATCCATTATGTATGGATTATTCTTTACCTGTTTCTCCGTTACATAATTCGAATTTACAAGTTCTGCACAACATTCCTTCAATATTTACTCGATCGCATGTGGGCGCACAACCTTTTCGTAAACCTGTAAAGTTTTAATTTATTCAAAAAATTTTAATAAAATACATTGGGCTTGGATTTGAGGAATGTTTTTTTTTTTTTTTTCACTTTAAATAAACTTTGTTAAATATAGGAAAGGTAAAAGAATTTGCACTGCATTATCTACGGAATTAATCTGCTTTGTCTTTAAGCACCATTTGATCATTTTTTACACAATTGGATCAGTATATTTGGCATTATGTCAAATGCAAAGAGTTTTAGAAACCGTTTAGTTTTGTATCGTAATTTTGTGCAACCGTGAAACATTCATTATTTTGGGGACATAATTGTTGTCGTGGATGAGCGCAGTCCGTAGGACCATCACAACTGTAACATTTGAGACATTCTCCTGAAATTTACGCCGAAGTTTTATATAATAATTTAAATCACTGATAGTTTAGTTGTATTTAAAATACATTGACGGTTATAAAATATTTTGTAAGAGATAATGTGAACGATAAACATGAAAATAAATTTAACAGCGAAAATATAAAGTGATTATCTGCTATAACTTGTAAGACAAATTGAGAGATAAATAATAGAAGGTAATTGTCGTATGATATTTCAATAAGTTAACCACTTGAATCAATAACTATGTGAATAATTATTTTGATAGTTAGGAAGTTCTGGAGTAAGGTATAGTCAAGTTCAAGTTACACTTACGTTAGTTATATTAGTGAGTGACTAAGTAAGCAATTGATTACAATTAAAGTTATTGATTAGACATTAGCATTAATGTACATCTTTGAATGAATCTGTTTCTGAGAGTATTTCCTGTTTTCTATTGATTTGATAATCTTCGTTATTACTGTGTCGGGGGTTGTTTGATTATTTTTAGTGTATTGATGAAGACCATTTGGCGAATTTTTTTTTATCATTTATGAAAAAATAAATTAGCAATGAATCATAGCCAAAAAATATAAGTAAACAAACCATATGTAAAATAGGTTGACACTATAAGTAGACGGAATATAAGATGCATAAATGGAGGTAATTTCATGAATCTTACGCCTGCGCTGATTTATTAATTTATCTTTTATTCGTTTATCTGTTTGGTAAAATTGATGAAGCAAATGTCGTGTTGAAATTGAAAGTTAAACCTGGAATTAAAATGCAACTAAAGCTTGTAGTGAATACGTCCATAATTTTAAGGATCATATCAATAAGCAAATCAAATCACAAAAATAATCCAAATACTAGTGGAGTTTTCAAAATATTAAAAACAATTTTATATCGCATTATTGTTTTATACTGCATTACTTAGTTACTTAATTGGAAATCTCAGTTTTATGCTAATAGCAAATCATCTTTTTTTATTTATTTATTTTTTTTTTTTAAATGAATTGTGGAAAATATTTTGGAAAACGCAGTAATTAAAGACTTCAAATTGGAAGCACTTATAAAATCTAGTCAATTTTACTTCTTTGTTTGAATAGATTTGTTCAGATGAAAAGCACTTATTTCGGTTTTCTATATTAATAACATGCAAACTATTAGCCGTTTAGAGAATATATCTTGGCTTAAGAATTTTTATAATCGGTTTAACAAATCTAAAATTGAGCTTTTATTTCTTCTCCTCCTATTGTTTAAATAGACTGCTTTCGTATGTATTAAATATTGATCATGTTTCACACCTGTAATACCTTTCCGTAATATTCTTATTATTATATATCGTAAAGTTCTTTACTTCTTATTCTTCTGTTATAATTTTAAGATTATTTGTTATGCTTTTATTAAATTGTTACAACTGTTAAATTTCAAATCACTATTATATAAAATGAATTAGGACAGTAAAATTTGAGCAGATGAGAGAAATTGCTAAAGCGAAATGTGAAATATTTATGAGACAACAATATTGAATTTATTGGTCATTAACCTATCCTATAACAGATATGAATCATCAATATTGGTAAGAAATCAATTATCATTCATATAAAATGATCATTGATAAGTTAGTATTAGATTTAGTAATACCAATTATGGGTTTTTTTTTTTAAGGTTAATTAAATAATTAAAGTATGAAATGATTTTTAAATAGAATTACAGTCTAATTCTATTTATATTTTCTTTTTTTTTCTGAAAGAAATTTAAAGAAAGCAAATATAGTTAGCATTTTTTTATAATTAGGAGCAGTTGTTATTGAAGAAGATTGTAAACGATGCTTTATGTGTTAACATACCGACAGATTATCCTTTTAAAAAAAAAAAAGAAAGATAGGAAATGGAAAATGAGAGTAAGTAGTAGTACTTTCGGAAATATTTGCATGAAGTTTTTTTTGAATTTATTATGATAAGCTAAGGAATTGATTTCATTGCTAAAATTGGCAAATGTATAGATAAACATAAATAAATATTAAAAAATAGAAAATGAAATTAAAAATTTTGGGTTGATGTTGACAAAAAAAAAAAATGAACATTTAAGGATGATAGAGAGAAAGAAAGAAGGAGGGTAAGAGAGAAAGAGGAGGAAAGAGAGAGAGAGAGAGATGTACTAGTGAGAAAAGCAATTTTTTTATCATTTTTTTTTTCTAATTTTAGAAATGAATATGAGAATGACTAAGTGCAGTTGGTATGTTCAAGCACTCCACTTTTTTTTTTTTTTTCGTTTTTTAACTGTATATTGATTGGTTATTTACTAATTAAAAAAAAGAATTAATTATTGATAAAAGTTTAACCTAAATTGAAACATTTGCTTATGTCATCTATTTGTTTTTTGTGTGCTCTTTTTTAATTATCATTTTCATTCTAATGAAAATTTTGTAAAATACTCAAATAATTTATGCGTATAAATCAAATAACTAATAAGCTGTAATAGCTGTAGTTTTTAAAAAAAAAAAAAAAGTAATAATCGTTATTAAGTATTTATTGAAGATATTTTTGTTGAAAATAACAACAAATTATACTACTATTGAATATTTGCAAGCTATAAGTTTATTAAAAATTGAAATCTCAATTTACACTTATTTAAACAAAATATTGTAATAGAAAAGAAAAAGAATTGAGAATGAAGAGCTATGTAGTTCAAAAGAAATAAATAAAATTGTGAATTGAGAAAAAAATTGAAAAAAAAAATTTTTTTTTTTTTTTTTGTAAGATAAAGAAAAGAGGACGAAAATGTGTTTGTAGCATGTGATTGGAAGAAATTATTGATAAAAAGATATGAAAACAAGTATTGATGTTTGTACTATGATGCATCAATCGATAATTGTTGTTTTATTATGGAAATGATAACGTTTTATTGATTGATTTATTGATTGATTGATATGAATTAAAAAAAGATGATATGAAGAGATGTGAGAATTAGGAGGAGAGTAAATTGTTCTGATCAAGATGAAATCGATAATAAATTAGTATTGTTGTTTTTTTTTTATCATAATTGAATAAAATATATGTTGCATTTTGATGTTAATGTATAATTATCTTATTGATAACTATGTTATTATCATTTTAATTGTTATCATGATAATTATTATCACTATAATTAGACTTGCTTTTTTTTTTTTGTGAAAAAAGATTGTAACTTTTAATTTAATGAGTAAAAGGAATGTTAATTTTAATGTGTTTAAACTACTTGTTTTCTCATTATTATTTATGATATTTCATATCATATTTCTATTTATTTTAGGCATATATTAATGCATGTGCATATATATTATCTACGTGTGCTATATATTGTTTATTATCGGAAGCATCATTGTTAATTTTAAAAAAAAAAAAGTGTTTTTTTTAGATTTATTTAAGGGAAAGATGCTTTTGACTAATGTAATTGTTAAATTTATTGCTAACAGATTTCTTCTTTCTTTCTTCCATTTTTCTCTACTTTATTCTAACATTATTTTCTTCAATTTATACATTGATATATTTTAATAATTACCATTTAGGCTCATAGTTATACTTTTACATTCTGCAATTTATATAAATAAAAGTCATTTATACATATACATGGTTTTTTTCTTTTTTTTAATTTAAAAAATTTAAAGCGAAATGTTTGGAGGATGAAGTTTAGTGATGATGTTACTGATGATGGTAATGATGTTGAGAAATTTCTCTGATTTCATTCAATTCTTTGCATATCATTTCTTTTTCTTCTTCTTTTTTTTTTTATTTTAAAGTTGTTTACTTTTGAAATTACTTATTGTGTGTTATATAAATATGTGATAGTTGTGTTAACATAATTGATGAAATTGCTTGTTTAATTATACTAACACCATGACATTACGTCATTTTTTACTGATTTTAATAACACTTTTAAATTGCACAATAAATTATTATTATTATTATTTTTATTTTTTTTTATCAAAATGAAAATTACATTTTCAGTTACAATTACAGAAATTTTCGTTTGTATATGAGTTAATGGATCAGAAAATTCATAATTTCAAAAATTGTTATTGAAACTACTTTTATTGAATTTAAGACTTTCTTTTTTCTTTTTTTTTTCAGTTTTAATTTCTTTGTTATATGTTAATTTTTTGTTGTGACATATAACACGAAAAGTTTGGGTTATTAGTTAGGCAATTTGTTATCAAGAATATGATTTTAATTATTCAGGTCATTACGTCGCAGTGACGTAGTTTTTGGTATCATTTATTTTATTATTAAGTTTGATATTTTGTTAGCAGTTTATTATTATCCAAACTTACTTAAACTGTTTCACAGAGTTTTTTTTTTTTTGATATTTATAGAATTCCTTTATTCTATTTTTCTGAAAAAGGATTTTTTTTTTTTATACAAATTAAGATATTCTAAAAATGATTTACTAATATTGAAAAATCTTTGTTATCTTAAAAACATTTATGAATGTATGAGAAAAGTAATAGTTTATTTTACATCAATTATTTTCAGTATGACGAGATAATTTTTGATCAAATTATATTTCATTATATTTACTGCTCATATTTTCTCATTTGCCTTCATTCTTTTTATGCAAATTTCAAAGAAAATTTTTAATTTCTTTTCATTATTTTTATCAAAAATACTTTATTGTATATAAATTCATGTCTATTTCTTGATTTTAATACTTTTACTGAACTGTATACACCCTAAAGTTACATTTGAGCAGTTTTATCGGTTATAGTTTTTTAAAATCTGACTCAATCTTGATCTTTATCAAATTTTACACCACATGAACAATTTTCTTGGTTGTTAAAAGGTTTATGTTTATAACCTTCTTTTCTTATTTCTCTTATAATTAGAAGCTTAAAATGTTGAATGAATCACAAATTCCTTTTTAAAGTATTCATTGATGTTTAATCCTGATTTCCATTATTTTCTGATATATATATATATATATATATATAATAGTTTTTTTTTATGGGTTGATTAACCAATCAAAATGTTTACTGCAAATTAACTTGATAGGTTACAAAAGTTGAAAATGTCATTTCGGTTGTGAAATGACATAATAATGCTAATATCAGAATATAATAATATGCACAACTGATTTTAGTATAACAAATTTGTTTATTTTATTGCATTCTTATATAAAATTATTTGCAAATTATTCATATTTAGTAATATTATAGAAATTAGTAGTTAAAAATTTTCAAATTTTAAATAATATGAAAATTTTTTTTTAAGTGTAATTTCATTGTATTATATTATTTAAAGTTTCTTAATACAGAAATTAATTTCTAAGCTTATCAATTCTTCTTATATCATTCAATATCTGTAATAAATTTAAATAAATGTATACACTATAATCAATACTACAATGAATTGTTGCCCTTTTTTTTTTTCTTTTCTTCTAAATGATATTGGTTTTTTAAAGTTTTAAAGTTAACATTTTGTTTATGTATGAAATTATAGCTGCTGATTCGATTAATGTATAATTTTATACAAGACATAATGCAATAGTTTAACATTCCTATGTAATTGTTGCTGAGTTTAGAGATTAATTTTTTTTCTAATGAAAAGATGTGTATTTGTCTTTTAATGGAGGAAGTGAGTATGGCCATTATATTTGATAATTTTGTTGACAAGT